TGTGGGTTCATAACAAAAGAAAATTAACGTCAAAGAGGGATGTGATAAACATGACTTTTGAGTGGTTTCATATTCATTGCTAAGTCTGGTAAAATACAGCTATTGGGGAGTTGTTGTTCCGGGTGTCTTTAATCTTCAGAAAATATTTAGTGGAGAGGCTGTTGGTGATACAGTAGTTTTTTTCCATCATGACACAATAAATGAATTGGAGTAGGACAGAATATGTAACAATTTTTTGGTATATAGTGTACCAGTGTCTATTTTGGCAATGGAGCATCAACTTCCAGTTTAAGATCCTTGTGATTTTATTCATATTTTATTATTAAAGTTGACACGGTGATTTTTAAAATGTCTTTACTTTGTTAAAACTTCAACACATTTGAATCCTCATTATGATGGTAATAGTTGGTTATTTCTTGGTATCATGAAATATCATCTTTGACAGATTTATTTTAGGGCTGCAACTAATGACTTTTTTCCATTATATTCTTGGTGAGTCATTCAATTACAAATCACAAGTACAATATCTCACCCCAAGGTGACTTCATGTTATTTTTTATACCCAAACCCAAAGACCTTTACACCACCTTGAGTTTGTGAATGAGACGAGTAACAGGTCCTGAATACCTTTCTACTAATACGTTTCTGTCCATCTGTCTTTGGAGGGATTGTATCACTACAATATCTTCACATCCACTAAACCTTATAGGTGTTCAGTTGAGATTGAAATGAAGGCTGAGGTTAGAGATGTGCAAGTGAGCGACAAAGAGGAGAGGAGTTGAGTTCAAAACCTGGCAAAGCGCTTTTCTCTCGCTTTTCTCTTATTCAGCCCAAATTATTTGAGAAACATGAGTGTGTATTACCCTGAATATTGTTTTGTATGCTTTGTCAAAAGCATGCAATATTTGAAGAATTGTTCAGTTGTTCAGAATTTCGTTATTGTGGCGAGGATAGAAATTATGTTTTCTTTTTAAAGATTAGTATTTAGAAATTTAAATCAAAGTGAACATGGCTGCAACAACTCCATTTTAACAGGTATGCGTATATGTCCCAGTCTAAAGTGTGTTTTTCTGCAAACATAAAAACCTAAACATTAGTTTGGTCATTTAAGATGATACAGAAGGGGCTGGTGATCATATACCATACATCCCATGATTTTATATAACACATGTACGCATGTGGCTCAATTGTTCTGATCAAAACTACATTACCAATCCAGTCGGTCGGGCCAACACTTGCCCGATGCTATTTCACAGCTACCAAAAATGTGCTAACCAGGTCAAGCTCTCCCTGAAGAAGGAGAGACAATCCACTGCTCAGCCAGCTGGCTGTTATCCTGAAGTACCCCTCAAGGAGAGATTGTATCTATCATTCTTTATTGGCAGTCATTAGGTCTTCCTCGTGTGGACTTTGTCTGTTGTTGTGCAGAGATGTGAGGCGTATGCGTTTCGTGTGTGTGTGTGTGTGTGTGTGTGTGTGCGGATGTGCTGAAAGCAGCATTATCGTGGGTGCGTTTCACTCGGCTCCTGCTGTCTCCCTTCTAATGTGTTAGATGTGCAGTACTTTCATATAGGTAACATTTGATGACATCGATTAAAAGCAAAACCAAACATAGAAGATGTTTTTAAGAGTTAATGGCAGCAAAAGATAAACAGAACCCCCCCTCTCCACAGAGAGACACACACAATCCTGGATTCATGCACTCTGTCTCTTTTATTCATCCCTTTATGCACAGCTTTATTTCAATGCATATTTCATTTATATTAAAAGTGGCAATTACATTGAACCTCACACAAAGGATGTATTTCACTCTAGAAAATCGGATGTTGCACAAAATATTAATTTTGTGCTGGCAGTTTGTGGCATGTGGTAGTTTACATTTTTTACAGACTGCGGATCCAGTTTACAATGATATCTTGCTATTTCATTTCTTGTGTTTTTTCTATTATTTTTCACTAAAAGTAACCTACACTTTATACAATCATTAAAAACATACGGTATCTATAATACGCCAATATTTTCCATTTTAAAAGTCAAAACGCTGGACACAAGATGTGTTCCACTTCACTGAAAAGTTTCGTATTGGACAAGTTTTTCAAATGAAGGTTAGCAGGTAAGCAATGAAAGAAAGGCTTCTCAATATAATGCAATAAAATAAAGTGAAAGAACACAGTTGCCTTCCAGATGAAAACCTGTTGTCAGGTTACCTACAGACATGCGTTACAGCTGTTTTACTCCACACTGTAATCACTCTCCACATTGCCCAATCACAGGAATGAAAGCTTGTGGAGGGTAAGCCATATTGAGCAATTACTTTTCTTTTGTGTTTTTTTGTGTTTTTTGCAGGCGCTGTAATCGTGAATTTGTCTTGCTATTGTTCGCTGGGCAGGCTAAACATTCTGTGCATAATTTATTTCAGGCAATCAGTTGGCTGGGAGGCTTAGAAACAGGCGGAACCCCGGCACAAAGGAACCTTTCTCAGCCACATCATAACTTTGTCACTTACGCTGTGCTCTGACAATGCATGTCATGTTGCATTATTTGCCCGGGAAGAGTGTGGGTGGGCAAAGCAAACACGATTAGTTGATGTATGCATTTGTTTTTCTCCGAGTGAATTGCGGTCTTTAGAAATGGTTTCGTGAGTCAGTGCTAGTAGCACAAACATCTAACTCATCCCCCTGTCAGCAGTGCATATCTGCACAGACACGCTAATGGGGCTTCGAGGTGGTCCAACGAGGAACTGCTGCCTCTACTGATGCACCAGTAGTTTGTGGAAAAACGACATGTATTCCTTGTGTGCCATGTCTAATCTTTCACTCATGGAGAGTCCAGCTTTAGTGCTGTTCAATGAATATGTACTACCGCTAAATATATCATTACAGTCTTACTGCTCTGCATGTAAACGTCCTGCATCCAATCAGGTATTAGTACAACGGTAAAAGGAAAACATTGAATCAAATCAAAAGTAAATATACACAATTGGCAGCGGAGAAACAAGCACCAGCGTGATTGTATTATAATGTATGATTATATCATTTGATTATTATTACGAGAACATTATTGTGTTTGCAGCAGTCAATGCTATAGCTGGATTTGATCTGACTCATATTCTGTATGGTTTAATTTCTGCCACTAACCCTAAACCTGCGACATTCACAGGTCTGTCAAATGCAGTGTTTCCCCTGCCATTAGACCATTAGATAAGGGGTCGGCCCGCACCGAGGGGAACACGGCACTATTGTCATTAACTCCAGAAAATACTCACTCGACACCGGTATAAAATCATCAGAACTGACACATACAAGTAGTGTTCCAAGTCAAAGGTTTTCATCTTCAGAACAGGAATATATAGTTGGAAGATAAACATGCTAAAACAGGGGGGGGTGGGGGGGGGGGTTGTCTGCTCATTCAGACATATTCTGCGTCTCTTTGTGTTGGGCAATTCCCCCTGGAAGTACGAAGGCGATCAGATGAACACACACAAACAGATGATGTGCGTGATGTGCTTTCTCCGGCCCTTCCATTCGAATCTTGCAGAGCACCGACATGTTCTAAGCTCAGCTTTGGCAGCTCTGTGTGCGTCTTCCCGTTCAACCACAAGGCTCCTCTCTGAAGGCGGCTCCACCAGTTTAAATTTCTCCCTGGAGGTATTAACAGCAACATCCAAATAGTCCACAATATAGCAAAACAGGTCAACCTTTCACATAACAAAGCTGATTTGTTCCAGAGTTTTTACTGTGGACAGCTGTGAAACGTTACACAGACTCTGGGCAGCAGATGAGTGCTTCTATTGATCAGCACTGTCAAGCCGTATAGCCCCATGTGTGGAGCCTGCTATGTTGGAGTAGAAGCTCATCGCTGTGTTTTCAGAATACAGTCTTCATCATGAAGAATCTTCTTCTGATGTAGCTTGAGGGTGCTGACGGGCAAACTGTGCTGTGCGTCCTCGGTTTCCTGCTCAGAAAAGACCTACAGGTGAACAAATGCTCAGTCAAAGTTTCTACTCAGCCTCTTTGCTTCACCTTCTTCAGAGTTGAATGTTATTAAGGGCCTTGACATGTGAGGTAATCAAGCTAAACTGGTTTAAATTACTCCATCAATAATTGTTGTATTGCTTTGAAAGTGAGACAACAACAATGGTTGGACCATAGTATAAAAGCAGTACCATGATATATTTAGGAATCAGGAAACATTTATTGCCATAATATGTCAGACATACTGTATATTCCGCACTATAAAGCGCACCGGATTATAAGGCGCACCTTCAATAAATGACCTATTTTGAGACATTTTTCATATACAGGGCGCACCGGATTATAAGGCGCATAAGATACTGCAGTCAAACGTTTGGCGTCAGGGCGGGTGGGTGGAGGGGGGGTGTGTGGGGAGGTGGATACGGTGCTTTCAGGGTCCGATCGATGCTGCGAGGTGCGTCCGCTCCCGCCGCCCCCCTCGCCCGCCCGCCCTGATCATGAACGACAACCTCATGGAGACACGAGAGTTTAGGTGACAAAGTCATTAGGATACATCATCAAGGAATGTCCAAACACAACTCTAGATGTTAAAATATACAGACAACACTGACCTGCTGGTGGCACGTAACGAGAAGTCATTACAATTCATGCGGAGCCATTTTGCTCTTTTTCTAATTATTCCCATCGGCTTCTCTACTGTGTAAATTCAAATTAAACTATTTTTTGCTATTTTTTTGTATCAAAAACGTGTGTTCTACTACACTGTATCTAAAGTCTTCCTTCCCCATTAACCCTACATTTGGAGCCCATTTACTCCACTGCTTTCTGTAGAATGGAGATTTTGGTGGTTATATGTATTTTTTCCTCTGCACTTGAATAAGCTAAAGAGCACATTTTCTCAGGTATAAAAATGTATATACACATTGATTTGAACGTGGTAGAATGATATGTTTGCAGAATCGTTATAGACTCATGCATCCTGTGAGTACTGTTCAGTACTAATCTATGCTTTCTCTTCTGAAAAAGAACCTCACACTGACGCCCCAAGAGTGCAGGGACAACCAGGCGGGGCCCCCACAGAAGAAAAAGGTGGCCAGGTTCCCAGCGGCTTGAGCCTGGATTCCTGCAAGAACACTCACCACCCGCAACAGCCTTCAGACCAGGAGATTAACCCCCGCCTGGCACACACACGGGGCAAGAGGAAGAAGAAACATCTGAACAAGAAACACACAATGGTGAGCTCCTACTTAGTTTTCCAGTAAAATGTGTGTGCAGAAATGTGAAGGCTCCATGGCTTTTCACTTTTCAAGTATATGAGTGTATGTATATCATTGTGCAGAATACCTGAACATATTTCTCTCTGTAACAAGGTGACAAGGTCACTGATGAATATTTATGCTACACTGATGCAGTGATGAATCTCTGCCAGCGAGGACAGCGAGTATCTGTCACGGCACAACCTACTGTTTACACACACACACACACGAAGCAGTGACTCTGAGGTTATGCTCTGCCATTTCTCTGAGAGAGAGCTGGTCATGCTCGTGTGGGTTGATGCAGGACACGCCCACATGAGGGAAAACAAAGACACACGTTAGCAGGCGCTGCCTTTTAAATAGACCAGTAGGGGCAGTTTCATTTTATTACATAATACATCTCCAAGGAACTCACAACAAAATCATTTTCTTGGGGGAAATTGTCCTTTTTAAGCAAAACTTGTATTAAAATCTGCATGATTCGTGGGCTATTGATGGTGTCCCTCATGCCTCCATTTATGCAACATGTTTGTTATCGGGTAGTTGGCAGGTGTGTCTCTGGCATCTACTCTTTCGTCAGGTGTGTGGGTGTCCCCAGGTGCTTTGAGAGGCTTTTAGCTGAGCAGGTAGAGTGGCCCTGTGAGTGTGGTGCAGTGTGGCTGCATCCCATCCCTGTGTTGGGAGGCTCACCACTGCGGCCTGTGTGTCCCGTCGCTGTGCCGGCTAATGGACAAAGGGCGCCTACCTGCCACTTTCAAGCTGGTTGTGAACCGCTGTGGCGTCTGCGTTCAGACTGTACGCATGCTCGCTTATTAATCTTGTCTTTAAACATGTCCCGTGTTGTTGGCTTCCCTGTGTGCGCGTGGTTGTGTGTTACCTTGCCAGGTGGCTGTGTGGTTGGCTGCGGTCGTGCATTCTGGTCGTCGGTGCGTTTAGGAATGTTGGCGGAGGGAGCCCAACCTTGATCTCTGGATTGCAGATGTATTGATGCACACGTGAGTTCACAGACGCAAACACATCCAGCACATTCTCACCCACTCGCGCTCTCACTTAAACCGCACACTCACATATGCGCTCACACACACAAACAAAGCTGTACTCAGCATGTGTTGCCATACTGTTCCTCCACACAAATCACAGCTGGCTAGTGATGGGTTCAATGTGTCAAAGTCGTATTGGCTTACTCACAAGAAGAGATCTCTCGCTAATAATGGCTGCTTTTTGATCTTGGTAATAATCAGAAATAATGTTAATGTTATATTACTGATTATGTGTCATTATGTGTTTGGCTGTAAGAGCAGATGAAAATATTTCAACCCTTTATAACCGACGCATAATTGAAAAGATGATCATATGCGCCCCTTTTAGTCCTCTCTGCAAAGAAACAAGTGCTATCAAGCAAAACTATTATCTTCTCTTTGGCTTCACTATGAATAAATCTTAAGCCATTGTCCTCCCACAAGGTTACACTTTAAATGTCAGAGGTCCGTCTCCAGTTTTCATTCTCCATTTAGAAGTGCTACAGTCTGGTGAGAGAGCTCTTGTTATCACTAATTAGTTTAAGTAGAGGGAGAAAGAACGATTTAGTGTTGAATAAAGCAATTTTCCCACTTTTTTTAGTTATCGTTCCTTTTCAGCCAAGCTCGCATATTGCAGGAAATGCTTTTGATATCTGGCACTGACCCAATGTCCTGAACTATGAGATATTGTAAGCTCAGGGGGGAAAGTAGAGAAATGTTTATAAGCGCTTGTGACATATCGCCTCACAGAGAAAAAAGATCCCAGATAGAGGAATCTCCAGCAGCAATAGATGAGAGTACTGTGGCAGGCAGCGGATTATAAACCGGTCAATAACTCTCTTCTCCCTTTCTTATATTGCACACAGCTTTTTGTATTTGTTTAATTGGCACTTGTGCCATAACAATTCACTGAACCCAATTTCTAGAATCTGATGACAGGCTTCATTTTTTCTGTATTGTAGCTCTTTGACCTTTTAAGGGCAAGGAGTATTGAGCTAACCTTTGCTATCTGCGGTCAACCTACAGCACTATGTCTGTTTGTGGGTCAGAAAAGTAGCTGAGATCAAGCACATGGACCTTGATACAGGCACATGGGCCACAATAATATTTCATTTTTATATGTTATAACAGTGACTGCGGAGAGATGACATGAAATACCGAACATGTTAGTTTGAAGCAGACAATCCTAAATGACTCACGCGGTGCCATGTGGTTTGAATCAATGACTGATTCAGTCCCAAGTTGGACTTCAGCACTGTGTGTTAGAACCGGGTTCACATATTCATCGAGTAGCTGCTGTCAGGAGCTCAGCCGGACTGTGAATTCTCATCCGAATAGCGTTCAGCAGACTTCCTGTCGCCCAAGTGAAAGATTATGGCAGATTTTGAAAAAAGAATTGCACCCCAGCATTTAAATGACGCAGCCTAGGGGTCACATCCTTGTATCTCAGAGTGTCTGGATACATGTTTCCACCGGAGAGGTGGGGGGGGGGGTCTGTTGAGCTCAGAGGGCCCATATGCTCTCTGGCACTGGGGATATGGAGTGGGGTCAGGTCAGCCCCCCCCCCCCTCCCTGGTTCCAAACCCCTGCCTGTCTGTCTGCTTGTCCATCTGGCTGTCTGCTTTTCTCTCTGTTTCTCTGACATTTGGTTGCAGTGATTCCGATTGGAGCTTTCGAAGAAACCGTTGTCTGCTTGTATATATTTGGTTTGATCATTTCTACAAGAAATGTATCAAAAAAATAACTGGAAACCAGTTTGAAAAAAGGAAATAAGTTCTGAACTCAAACAAGTTGGACACATTTCCACTATTCCCTACTTGTTATTATTCTATTCTATTTCTGCAATAGCTTGTCGTGGAAGCGTCTCGTGTCTGAATCACAGAAACCCAGTGACTAGATGCAGCCACTCTCACAAAAACAGTGTGTGCAAGTAGATCAACAATGATGAAAGTCAAAAGGTCCTTCAGGCAAACGCAATATTAACAAAAAAAAACCCTAAACTATAATTATGCAGAAAAATGTGACCAGCAAATTCCTGTTGCCTAAGCGATGAGAGATCCATAGCAAGAGGTTCAGTGACATAAAAAAAAAAACTGTGATTAGTTTCATCTTAGTTTAAGTGCTTCGCACACCGATATCTTGTGAAGCTCTGCAGCACATTAAAGAGCTGTGGATTAAGTGTGATCCGCCGTCAGCTGCTTGTGCTGTTGTATCGGCTTGCGGCAAGGCAGCGCGCTGTAATGGGGATCACAGGTGCTGTAACGTCTCTGGAACTGTGAAAGGTTTTATACGAGATTTTTTAAACGCATTTTCATGTCTCACACGTGGCGTCGTTTGGTTGAAGCCCACGTGAAGACAGGACTGCTACGGCAAGTTCTTTTATTCAAAAAAGAACGAATGGAAAACCCCCCCGTCACGTGACAGCGCCGTTCCCTCAGTGAAACGTGGACAAAAAGAGCTGTGGTCTCTGCTCGGCGTCCCAGCGGTGAGAAGTAATGCCGTGGGGACTTGCCAAGCGTTGTCTCACCCCGGGGTTGGAAGAGGCTCCTTTTGAGAAGCTCCGACCCGGTCAGCGGGTCAACCGGAGGGCTCTGGTCTCACCCATCTCACGGGGCAGATCCTCGGTCCACCTCAGGCCTGCCAGAGGCTGCGTTGTATGACGGATCAGTTTCTCACCTCGACCGAACTCTTGTTTCAGCCCGCCGGGAGGCACATGCAATGCGATCCAGCCGAAAGCACTGATGGCAGAACTCCCGGCCCGGTTACGCTGTCTTCATAGATGTTTGGACTGAAGCCCTGATTGTTGTCAGGACGGGGGCAAGCTTGCATGTTTTTTAATCTGTGGTAAAATTGAATTCTAACGTTCAGCTCTTACAGCTTTGCGGGTCACCCTTAACAGGCTTATCCCCTAAGCCAATAAGAGATGTGAAGAAAAGCGATGTCCTGATCGCCAGATAAGATGCTAATCCCCTTCTGGCTGCGGTGATGATGGTTGTCACGGTCACTGGCGGCTCTCGGTCTAATCAAATCCAATCCGGATGAACTTGTTTTGTGGTCTTCGTTTCACACTTGACAACTTGTCAAGTATAATCTCTGTGTAATTATTGGTGTTTTTGATGGTGGTGTTTTTCCTTTGTGTGCGATCAATTCACATGTCGATGCATCTATTCAAACTATTGATTTTAGCCATCCATACATATACATTAAATAAATATTACAAAGAAAAGATGCAACATCAAGGTTTTTCTTACCAGGGTACCACAGTAAGTTCTTTCTTTTCACAATAAAAGCCTTGAACTTATCCTCATCTACAGGCCATTAATCTCATTTTCATGTTTTTTAAAGGCCTGCAGTGCCTAAATGGACAAGAGGTGACGCTGACATCCGCTGAGAACTTATGACACAATTTTTGTCCTTTACCAGCGGGTCCTCTCCTGCGTGAGCCTCTCTGACAGCATATTCACACCTCCACAACTTGAACCTCATACGTCGACCCGCCCCGTCTGCCTGTCGTACTGACGAAAACATGTGTTTACCACGTCCACTTCCCCCAGCACAAGCTGTGGATGCTGTTTTTAAATTTAGGCCAACATGTCTTTGAAAACGTTCAATGTTGTTGTTTTTTCACACGCTCCCTGCTTGGCTTGCATTGGGAAAGATTTTTTTCTTCAAGTATCACTTTTCATTCGAGAGAGGACGTGTAGGAGGACAGGGGGGGGTTGGACTATCCGCTTGCATGAATGTTAAACATTTAATTTCCCTGCACGCTCCCAATGTAACCTCTATAGCTGCCACAGGGAGACAAAGCAGTGCAAGTACAGACCCGAGCGCATCTCCACCCACTCACCAAACAACCTGCAGGCTCTCACACAAAACAACCCCACCTTGTGAAAAATGAAGTGGCTGCACTTAAATCCAAAGGGCCGCCCCACCATAAGCCAAGTCCCCGTCTCAGCTGTC